TTGTTGCCTTGAAGTTATTTTCGGCGGAAAAAAAAAATGAAAGAGCTCAGATTACACCATAGGTTGTGTGGTGGAAAAAAAGGGGGGGAAAAAAAGGGGGGAGGAAAATCCCATCTTTTTCAGAAATATTTTAATGCTCCCCCTAATAGTCCTAGGAGTACCTGCCTCCTTTCACATTCTGTGATTTTCCCGCAGAGGAAGCACCGACCAAGAAATTCTTCTGTAAGTACAACTGAATTGAGTAGGACGAAGACACAAAAACTGTGTAAGAGTAATGGTCGGGCTCTGAAGAGCCCTGAGGAGCTGTTACTCTGAAACAGACCCAGGTCGGCAAATCTTTGATCTTAGTGTTCTTTTCCATCTAAACTTTGGTTCAGAACAGGTGTTTAAAATCTTCAGAGCCAGGAATCTGTCTGGGAGAGCTCAATAAATAAATTTTCCTTATGCTGTATTTTAAATTAAAATGTAATATTTATGGGTTTATGTTATTAGTGTAAGTATATTATTCTACATTAATAGGATTTTTCTATCAAGCATTGAAGGGGAAAGAACATCAGGATCTGAATCAAATTTCAAATCCCATAAAATTTCACCCATTTCTTCCACTAGCCCATTTCACTTTTTCTTCTATGAAAGGAAGGATATTTTGAAATTTCATTGCTTTGAAAAATACCTTTCTTTTAACACATTAACCTGCATACACTCCTTAGCCCTATAAGTCAATATTGCCATAGAGGCATGATATCACTCTACCAGATCAAACATATGATTCATAGTGGCCTCTGCTTCTGCTTAGGCAGTTTGGTAGATGATAAACTAAGATTTATTTATAGATTAGGTCCAAAGAGATATTTTGTTGAAATAAAAATGTTGAATACTCCAGCTTCCAAACGTTAATTTCAACAAGAGCTGGTCTAAACAGAGATTCCACCTTGCTAATGCTGAGAATAATAAATACACCCACCAGAAGGTTTCAGTTATTAACTCTGAGAAGCCTTGTGAATTTACCCAAGTCTGATTAGATTTCCATGAGTTGTTTGTAAGTGTATTTTTAACAGAAAAGGGGGAAGCTGGAGCAGTTCTGGTGCTTAGATTGCTCAGGAATGATGAGAGCTGAACTCCTGCATGCTAACTATGTACAATGGATGTGAAAGAACTTTGAACATTTAGGCAGTGGCACTCTCATCTTTCTGGTCATGTTATAAAGATATATCCTTTTGGCTTGTCCTCATGGTGCATTGGGAATTCTTAATTTCTGGGTTTTTATAAAAAAATTCCTATTTTTCCTAATTCAAGTTATTTTAATCAATAAAAGTTACAGTTAGCTTCTCACCTGGTTTCCTTCCCTTTTAACCTTTTGTTTCCCACAGATATTTGCTGTGTCCTGATCAAACCCCAAAGAAATGTGTTTTCTCTTCATGCTTGGTATGTTTGCAGGTACACCCCACCAAACCAAACCCATTCCAAGGCTGGTCAGAGGTGTTCACTACAAGGAACTGGAGAAAACAGGATGTTTTGCTTCTCTCCCAGGCCTGTGCTCTACCAGTCTGACCTGCTTATCCTCCTTTCCTTTTCTGCTATTCAGGAACCAGGTTGTGCCGTTTAATTTATTCCTACACTTTTCACCTTGCCTTTATGTCAGTGCTGGAGGTTTATAAATCCTTAAAAAAAAAAAAAAGGCATAAAGAGCAACATCAGGATGAGAACCAGTTTTAACTTCCCAGGTGCAGTTCACCTGGCTGCTTTCCAGAGCCAGTAATTCAGTAATTGCTTCAGGACTCACTGCATAAAAGTGACCAGAAATAGGACCCCTTCTAGCCATGAGTAATTTTAACAGCATTTTGCAGAGCAGTGTTTCAAAATGCTTTACGTTGTCCCAATCTCATGAGTGAAAAACTGAGTCACCAGAAGGTTTAAATGTGCTATCAGACCAGACAGTGGGCTTGGACATCATTTTCTGACTTCCAGTCCTGTCCTTTGATCCCAGGATTTCTTCAGTGCATTCAAGCATATCATTTCTGTTCATTGTCCCACGTGTATTACTTGTGTCAGGATGAATCACATCTCTGTACACATGGCGTAAAACTGTAAGTCAGCTCTTACATATTTATTTATTTATTATATTTTTGAAGTGCCTGGTGGCCTAGCATCCATCCAGCAGCATCCAACAGCATCCTAGCAACAACTCTTGCCACACAAAGTTGATCATTCTGTCATGTTTATTGTGTTCCATAAACAGATTTTGTTTCAGTCTCGGGGAAGATGAGCTTGAAATAGTTTACTTTATAAAATCTTGACAGTTTAAAAATTTCTTAAAGCTGGATACTGTTTGGTATGTTGTTGAAATGATAGAAAGTCCTCTCTGGTGCAAGTTGCTTGACACAATAATAGATTATAGCTTTTTCAAGTGTGCTTTGAAGGCCATATGAGACAGAGTAAAAAGCCTCAAGGCTCGTTGCAGGTTCGCAGCTGGATTTTCCAGCAGGCTCCCGAGTGTCACTCACGTGGCAGGTTCCATGATAACCCAGCTCCTGACTGTCTGAGAGCCCTTTCCAGCATGGCAGTGCTGTGGGGCACAAGGTAACGTGCTCACAGGGGAGAGGGTTCCAGCTGCCTGCTCAGGGTTTCACAGGGAATCTCAGGAGCTCCTGCAGGAAGCCTGGACATCTGTGAATGGCCTTGGTTCCCTGCAGGGCCTCTCCAGGTGAGTTCCCTCTGTGCTGTCCCTGCTGTGAGCTGGGTGTGAGCTGTGACCCAGTCACACCTCAGCAACCTCAACAAGCCCTGCACCAGTGCCAACAGTGTCCCTGCATCCAGCTCAACAGTGAGACAGACCAGATAAAACCTGCCCAGCTCACAGGAACAGAGACATGCTTGCACTGAAGCAGCTGCTAAATCAAAACAAGCAGCTGAGAAAGGAATTCTGCAGTTCCTCCATTTTCTCCATGCTGTAGGTTTGTTAGGGCTGTTTATGAAACAATATAGCCACGGCGTTAAAAGAAAGAAGAAAATAAAAATCTTCATTTTAGTTACACTACTCAAAAAATACCTGTACCAAAACATAGGGATTAAACAAAGCAACACAAAGTCATAATTAAGGCCAGTGCCGGAATTCATTTTAGCAGATTAAGCTGTATTTGAAAAGCAGTTACAAGCTGAGTGATCCTTGACTAACTTGAACTCTACATGTGTCCAATGATTTACCCTATGCTGGTGTTTTTCTCAAGGGCAACAAGTACACATCTTGCATAAGTACCCAAAAGAGTCTACTTCAGCACATTTAAAATCTCTTGCATTCAAGAATAAATTCTCCTGCAACAATACAGGAGGAGGAGCTGAATGGCTTTTGTACTTTCTAGAAATTTATGCTTTTCTAACATTTTATTGACTAATCAAACATTCTCCTACAATGAAAAATTACAAACATCAGCAATTTAAAACACTGTCTGTGAAAAGGACAATATCAACTATGCATTTAAATGTCATGCCAGCTGCAAAAGAAGCCTAGAATACTTTTTCCTCTTTCTAAGGTACTACCAGAATGTCATTGTGTATTCTCTGGTGAAATCTCTAATCAATTTTACAGTATAAAGGGGGCAGGGAGGAGATGGCTGCACTAAATTAAAACAATTAAAAACTGTGTAGGGAATTATCTTGAGGGACTGAGAGCATGGTTTTCACACGTAAATGAGTGCCACTCTGCATTCAGCCTGAGTCAGTGAGGAAGGAGAGAGAAACCTCATGGGCTGGGAGCTGGCTGGGGGCTGGCCTTCCAACCCCAACCATTTTGTGATTCTGTGAAAGGCAAAGAAAGGTGCCAAAGAGGGGAGATGAGAGACAGAAGGGAAAGAGCAGGAAATTGTTGAAATTCTGTGTCAATGGGAGAAGAAATTGCTACACTGGTTTATGTGTGTTCCTCACAAAACACCATTCCCAGCAACTTTCTTGGTAGTTTCAAGGAGTCAAGGGCTACAAAACCAGAAATGATGCAAAAGTTGCACTGCATTCTTGTGCTTATGACCAGCTCCTTTCCATGAAATGGGCAGATGACCAGGAGGACTCTGGCCAGCACCACAACACCCTTTCCATAAGCATTCCAGCTGCTGTGCTGAGGCCCATGTGTCCAGTCTGGATGCTCTTTGGTGCCCCTGTGAGCACCTTCTCTCCAGGTCTCACTCCCCACCTTGTCCAAATCCCATTTCCTACACAATTAAGGTTAATGTGACCAGATTTTGTATCTGCCCTCCATTACTGATTCAAGAAGGAGCAACTTTAGAATTTCACCAGGTCGTTAAATACCAAGGATAGTTTTAAATCCTGTCATTGGGAATTACTGAACAGGCAGAGCCTACAATCTGTAGGTCATCATCTCGGGCTGCATTTGAAAGCCCTACAGATTACTATTATTATTGTTTCCAGGATTATTTCATTATTCACCTTAGAGGTTTTATTTACCTCAAGGCATTGGTTCTCAGGGGCTGGCAAAAGGAGTATCGTGGGCACAAGAGAAGAACAGCTCAGAGCAGCCTGATATTTAATCATAGGTTGGAAATATCTTTTACAGACTTGTCTGTTTGCAACTGTCACTAAGCATAGACAATTACTAAATTAGTCAGCTTCATTTATATTTTTCTTAAGGGAGATCTTGGAACATTAGTTGCATTACATTTCAGGTTTAAGGATAATAAAGCTATGCATTCCTCTTGGGAAAGTAAAACAATATTATGATTAAAAAATAAATAAAATATAACAAAACTATTGCAACTATACCAAAGGTAAAGGGCTAAACTTTGCCCAATTCTCTTCTTCCCTTCCACAGGGCTCCAGAGCTCTACAGCCACAGGAAGCACTGCTGGGGAGGAGGATTGCTTCCCTGGCTCCCGCAGCTTGGACACCAGCATGAGGCAATCAGGAGGGTAATCAAGGAGAAAGGTATACAGGAATTGCCACAGGAACATTGTGTCTTACTAGGAGTTCCCAGCGCTACTGAAATTCAGAGTCTGTGTTTTCTCAAAACATCTTGAAAGAGAGCTGAAGTGTAAGCAAACACAGAATCTTTACTGGCTTTCCTAGATTCTGCTTCTTGCTCCTCTTCCCTTAAAATATTTTGGATCGAGTAGCAGATCCAGCTCTGCAGTCTGCACTTGAGGATGTGGCACACTAGCAAGGTTGGTGGCTTTGTGAATGCACCGAGCTTTTAACATGTGAAAGGCAAGGAATATTCATTCCGGCTCCCCCCGGGCACCAGGGGTGTGGAGCCTGCCTCTGATTCTTTCTGGCTCCTGGAATTTTGCATTTCTGTGTCAGCTGGGCCTCCCTGCCCGCACCCCTTGAGGGCTGAGCACAGAAAATCTTGTGCAAGCAGCTGGAGCTGCAGCGTTTTGGTTCTGTGTGATCCAACTGTCTATGGCTTCGGTGTCGTTCTGATCGCTCCATTTTTATCTAGATCTGAAGTTCCTCACTGAGGAGAGTTTTTGTCTGGAAGATACAGATTTCCCTGGTATTTGTTACAACTGGCTGTATTTCGAGTATGTCAGGCGCTTAGTCAGCTGTTCCTGCAACTGAGACTTGTTTTTCTTCTTTTTATCCCTTTCATGCAGTGGAAAAAGTTTCCTGCTGCTCTCCCTACTGATATTTGATATCCTATCTCCAACTGATGCACATATTTAACTTTTAAAGAACAGCATGTCAGCTAGCTCTGCTAAATAAGGCTCTTTCTGGTTTTGAATTGTTTCATTCTCTTTTGTTGTTTTGTGTTTTTGGTTTTCAGTGAAAGATTATTTTGGAGGTATTATTTCTCAGAGGAATGACTTTTTCTAATCCATCTCCCTCTTCTTAGCAATAATGACTTTTAAAAATCAGCTGCTCATGCTTTGTAGCAATGTATTTATTTAATGTTCAGCATTAAAGGAATGCTTACAGGGAGCAAAGCAGCCAGTCAGCAGCTTTCTTGAATGTCTGCTACAAGTCATTATAATGCAAAAAAGTAGGGAACTTGAGAGATTTGTTTTAGTTTCTCTACAAGTGTTTTACATTCTAACAGCATTCCTGATAATCATCTTTCCTCCTCTTTTTTCTTTATTTTTTTTACAGGAAATAATCTTTCTGGCCCCCACCAGCAACAGCTTACAGTGGGAAGCAACAGTGGGAAGCCATTAAAATGTAGTTATTGATGTTGCTATCAAAATGTATTACTAAGAGAAAGGCTCAAAGCTGTCCACTGATCTTTTTACCATGACTCTGTGACAAAAAAGCTTCCAAAGCATTCAGTGAACGCTGACCTCCCTGCTTACCTTGGCAAGTATTTCTTTCCCACTGTCTTTGGGCTCAGGAAGCTCCAAGTGGTAAAAACCAACAGGTACACAGAGGCAGGAGTGCAGAAGGAATGTTGGAAGGGTAGATGGACTGATGCTGTCCTCTGATGGATTCGTTGCCCAGGTTCATGTGTTTATACAAAACCTGCAATGCTGTCCACAGCCTCTCATAGCAGTGGAATTGCTGAGAGAGCAGCTCTGGGCCAAGCACTTCCAGTTCAGTCAATCTCTGCCTTCCTTTGCTTTGCCAAGCTGCACAGAGTCATTGCTTCAAGGTCAGTTTCTGTGTGCTTCATAAAGTGTCCCCAAACCAGCTCTGACACAGCCTGAGTCAGATCTTTCCTACAGGGCAGCACCACAGTGTGAAGAAGGAAGTAGAACAAACCCAAATATCTGAACCTTCAGAAGCTACTTTAAGGAAAAAAAAAAGAAAAAAAAAA